GATGGATCTTGGCTGAAAGCAGAGAATACCAGAGGAATGTCTATCTGTGTTTCATTGACTATGCAAAGGCATTTGACTGTGTGGATCGTAACAAACTGTGGCTGACTCTGAGAAGAATGGGAATCCCAGAACACTTAATCGTTTTAATGCGAAACCTATACTTGGACCATTTTATGGATTATTTTATGGCCTCTTATTACCTTATTCCACTTGCAGGCATATATGTGAAATAGAAAACAGAGACTAAAAAAGATATCTGTCAGAGTGGGGAGGATGGGTGGGGGTAAATCATAGGGTCTCACAATCTGATGGGTGGAAGGAGGGGTTGGTTAAAGAAATAGGAAAGACCTGGTGAGAAAACAATGTATATGAACTTTGTAAATAAACCAGTATAAAATATTCTACAGATGTTCTTTGCATGTTCTTATCCAAAAGGTACCATTTATTTTATTTATATTATTAGCAAATGGTCTATTGGGTAAGGAGTTGCCCTTCCAACTCAAAAGCAGGCAGTTCAAAATCACCAGTTGTTTTTCAGGAGAAAGATAGACTATTTCTTCTCATATGATTTGTTATTGTTATGTGCCATCGTCTGCAAGTCATAGAGACCTTACGTAAAACAGCTCTGAACCCTGCCCTGCTCTGAGCCCGTCTCACTGGCTCTGACACATCTACCCCCACTGCCCCAGTTACTGTATCAATCCATCTCATCCAGGATTTTCCTCTCTTGAGCTGTCCCTCTACCCTTTCAGCATGATGTCCTTCTCCAATGACTGATCCCTCCGGGCCTTGTGCCCTAAGTATATGAGATGGAGCTTCAAAACCTATCCTCCAAAGAAATTTAGTTTCACCCTCTCCAAGACAGACCTATTTGTTTTCTTGGCAGTATGTTCAAGACTCTTCTCCAGCACCACAAATCAAAGGCATCAATAATTCTTCGGTCATCTTTAGTCATTGTCCAGCTCTCTGATGCATAGCAAGTAATTGTGAAGACCAAGGCCTGGACCCTGAA